AAACTTAGGTTCTAACATGAAATGAAAACCAACACTCAGATCAGTGCCGCAAGTCAGAGACATTTGTTAACTCAAAAAAAGGGTTCTGCTAGCAACCATTATAGGGAGCAAGACGGGGACGTTTGTGCAGGTGAAGATGCTAATGATAAGATCCTAAAGTAAGCTCTGAATGAGCCTTTGGTTAGTATACAAATATACTCTGTCGATATACCATCGGTGGTGTTGTCCGTAAAAACACATTCTGCGGTTACTCTAGAAAATTTAGACCTGTAAAGTGTTAGAATGTGCTTGTGGAGTCTAGCAGGAAAACCCAGAAGAAAGAATTATCTCTTAGGCAGCCATTATCATTCCTGTCATATCTTTTCAGTGCCAAATCCGCTTTGGAGGAAGAAAAGAGATCGCCACAGACTCAGACAGCAGGTAAGAGAAACAGCCTGTTACCAAGAAGTTGTTTTCTTATATCTGTGTTTATTCAGCACCAAGAGGTTGTTTGCCCTGTGTGTGTAATGCAGTTCTAGGTCACAGTTCTAGGTCCTAGTGCTTTAGTCAGCTTCTTCTGTGCAGTGAACTGGCAATATGACAAGTTCGAGGGTCAGTGGTTCACAAGAAAATGATCTGAAAATGCAAATGGTCTAAACAGACCATTTTAATAACATTTAGGCAAAAAGAAACTACTTTTTAATGTTTATGATACTTTGTGGTCTTCAAGTTTCAAAGCAGTTAAAGTTGACTTCCTCTTTATTTCAACATATAAACAGTAATACTTGCTTCTTTATATCACTGCACATGTCCTGTTCCCTATGACCACTGAATGAACTCTTTTCTTTTTCTATACAGTACAGCTGGTTTTGTCTTTGTCTCTGCAGGGTGAGCTGCCTGTGTGTGCAGTTTGAAGTGGTGCTGCAGCATGGCCTGAGGAAAAGCAGGGGTCTGGCCCTCACCGCTGCTGCTCTCAAGCAGGCTGCAGGCCTCAGCAGCAAGACAGAGACAGGTATACTACTTAACTCAGTCAGAATGGTCTTTAATTGCCAAGTATGTTTGAACATACAGGAACTTGACTCTGGTATAGAGGTTCTCAATGTGTTTAGGGGAATAGGTAGGTAGGTACTTTATTGATCCCTCAATGGGGACATTTCAGTGTTTCAGCAGCAATAGAGAACAAACAACATAACACCATGAGAACAATCACCACACACATATCTTGATAAACAAATTCCAGATTTTAAGACAGCATAAATTATTCAAGAAAAAAATCAAGAATAGAATTTACGTATGTGCATATAAACCATGCATTTTCATATCATAAAAAGTCCAAAGGAGTGCCCCACACACACCAAAGGACCTCAGTCTCCTCAACAAGTGGAGGCGGCTCTGGCCCTTCCTGTACAGGGCATCTGTGTTGTTGGTCCAATCCAGTTTATTGTTGAGGTGGACACCCAGGTATTTAAAGGTGTCCACAATCTCAATATCTGAGCCCTGTAAGCTCACTGGAGTGAGTGCTGGTGATTTCCGCTGGGGATCAATCACCATCTCATTAGTCTTACTGGTGTTCAGGACCAATTTTCCTCACACCACTTCACAAAGTAACAACAACACCTCCCATCCCCTGCACCACACAGTGGAGGCTCTGGAATAGGAAGAGAAAATGGCAATGAGAATACAAATAAAAAGTAGAGCAATAAAAATGAGAATAAGAATAAACAGTGTGTGTGTTCAAATAGAGAAATTTTCTCTGCCCTCCTTTTGACCCGTGAGGTGTACAGGTCCTCCATGGAGGGCAGGCTCACACCAGTGATTCTTTCTGCAGTCTTGACTGTCCACTGAAGTCTGTCCCTGACCCAAACCAGGCAGTGATAGAAGTGTAGAAAACAGGCTCGATTATTCCTCTGTAGAACTGTATCAGCAGCTCCTGGAGCAGGTTGAACTTCCTGAGCTGATGTAGGAAGTTCATCCTCTGCTGTGCCTTCTTGGTGATGGTCCTGATGTTGGATGTCTACTTCAGGTCCTGGGAGATAGTGGAGCCAAGTAACTGAAGGACTCTACCGCTGATACCATGTAGCAACACTGTATCAGCAATAGAGTAATTAGAGTATGGTTGTTTGGTTTGCTGTACGAAGAGACACCGTCTGTTAATCTTGCGTCTAAAGTTGGAAATCAGGGCAGAAACTTTATATTAGCCTCTAACCTTTACCTTGGAAAAAGGAGACACCTTGCCACAGGGTACCTTGGCTTGTTATTCTGGAAGTCATGGAGGGTCAGAGGACACAGATGTATCAGTGGGAAGCTCCAAGCTGCAGGCTAAGACACAACCTGGCGTGAGAACAGATGGATAGACTACATATAGGGCTGACAGTTCAAAGAGGCAAACACAGGCAGATTTCTGCTTCCCTGTTTTTACTCTCCCTGCTCTGTTCACCTGTTGTGCCTCTCTGTCATAGTCAGAAATAGGAAGTATACCTGCGGTGACTTGGCACTCCTAAAAAGTAGGCTGCATGAATGTGCTGAATTTTGCCAGCTAGTCTGTCATGATAGTGATGGTAAGATGATGTCAGGGGGTAGGACTGGATAAGTCTGACTTCTTCCTACTCCATTCAAGCATGTACTAGGTATAAGCTAATTGATATTGGATTATGTGTAAAATTATGTGTGTTGACATATCAACTGTCTTTACATGCTTGGAAGAATAAATCAAATCAAATCAAATCAATAAATACTCCTCATTTATTCCAACTATTTTGATCTCACTGTAGAAGTCGTATGTTTTTATTTGTTGCTGCTGGGAATTGGAGCATTTATGGCAGTGGTTCCCCTCGTGTTACATGTGTAAATTTGAATTAATCTTAAACTGGATGTTATTTAACTATAAAAGTAGCCTGCATTTGTTCTGCTACTACATGGACTTGTTTCATTTAGTCATGTCTCTATATATAATCTTTATTATTTATTACTTTTAGCTAGCTAATTCAGCTGCTTATCCATCATTTTAGCTAACTGGTTTGACTGTCTATATATAATCTTTATTATTTATTACTTTTAGCTAGCCAACTCTTGACTATTTACCTATTGATAAACCTCTACTTTGACTTTTTATTGATTATTTTTAGTTATTTTTACTGTTTATTCATTACTTTTAGCTAGCTATTTCAGCTGCTTATCCATCATTTTAGCTAACTGGTTTGTCTATATATAATCTTTATTATTTATTACTTTTAGCTAGCTAATTGTTCAGATTTTTTATACATTGATTTTAGCTAACTATTTAGACTGTTTATCATTACTTCTAGCTAAGTGTGTTACTTTTAACCAGGTATGCTGAACATTTATATATTATCTTTTTCACCCAGTACTTTCTGTTAACTGGCTGTATTTGTTTCTCTGCTCACTTGGTAACGATTTTCATATGTTCTTAGCCTTAACTTTTGGTGTTCAGGTTTATAGTTGGCTCAACATGTGGGCGTATTTTTAAAAATATAATAAAGTAAATATTAAGTATATTTATAATATTATAAAGTAAATATAAGATAAAGTTCAATGAAACTATAATTTGTATATCATCCACCTTTCCACGTACTCTGTAGCAAGTGCTGTACAAGTATTCCTGGTTGGGAATCAGTATTTCCATGAAGAACTTTGACCATTCTGCTGCTGGAGAGATATTGGTTTCACATTTTATTAAGTTGTTTCTATGGTATCATATGAAAGACCTTTGCAGCCATTCATTTCACACAGATAAGAACTGCATAATGGCTTTCACCACATAACCATTAGCATATCTGACGTTTTCCCATATTTCACAGTCAATTAGTAGAAAGCACTGTCGCTGAACTCATGGATTTGGAGCTCCCTAATGAAGCCAAACCCCCTTTCAAAGCCAGAAATAGCAGACGCCGTCCTTCTGAAGTTGTATGCTAAGTTTATTTAAAAAAAAAAAGACTCATTCCCAATAATTACTGTACCGCGCCTTAGAAAAATGTACATGCAAAAATATCTTTTATTATTTTTTTACCTTTTGTTATTGAAAATAATAGGATTGTGAGCCCTGAGATCAGTGCAAAATATGGAGAGGTGACAGGTGGAATGTCAAGATGGAGCTGTGTGTGTGTGGAAGGAATTGTGGATATTTGTTAATGAGACAGTGAAGATGTGCTGAAACTCCAGAAGTGGTTTTACCATTGGTTTTTCTTTTATTCCTATTTATCATGTCTACATCCCTTCTTCCCTCGGTTCTTTGCATTCCCTCCACTTATGCCATCTCTCTCTTCCTTGTCACCTCTGTTTTCCACCATCTCATCCATCCATTCCTCGTTATGTCCCCTCCAGAGCTGACTTTCTGGTTTTATGTGAAGGAGCATTTGAACCGCCATGAGCTTCAGCGGTTCTACTCACTACGCCACATTTGCTCAGAGCTGGGACGAGGTCGTGCCTGGCTGCGCTGTGCCCTCAACGAGCACTCGCTGGAGCGCTACCTGCACACACTGCTGGCTGATCGCTCACGTCTGGGGTTAGTCCAGCGTCTGTGTGTCTGTGTGTGGCTAATGAAGGTTTTTTATTTTATTTTTTATGGATGATTACTACACCCTTGTTCACTGTAATTTAATAACTTAGCAACAAAGATATTTCTATTTTCATAACACAAGAAAAACTTTTCAGTGTAATCTTATTTGCATGGTCTTTTTATAAGTAACCTTTACATGTATGCTCTGCACAGCTGTTATTTCCTCAGGGATTTTCTCCTTTTGTCCTGATTAGAGATGTGACTTTACCTCCTATTTGTTCTCTAGAATTTACTATGAAGACTGGGCTTTTATTCTTGATGAAGAGAGGGCAAGTATGCTCCCCACCATGGCTGCAGGTGATTTTGTGTTTTAATTATAGGTAACTGTAACATAAACATATTATGATCCAGACTGTTGTAGGAAATTGCTAAATTTTTAGCCACTATGCTAGCATGGTGCAGAAAGTGTTTGAAATATCCCTCAAAGGGATGTGCACACCTGTTAACATGCTAATAATACCATGTTATACATACATAGCATGCTAACGTAGTCGGTCTTTTACATGCATATTCAGCAGGTTATAAAGCACAACTGAAGCTGACAAAGCATACACACATTAACAGGCACTTGTATTGTATAATGTAACATTAGCATAATTGTAGCCTGATGTTGTGGTAATTTGAGTGTGCTAAAATGTATTTTGGTAGCATGACACTGTGTTGCAGTTGGTATGTTAACATTTAGAATGTTAATATTAGGGCTGTGTATTGGCAAGAATCCGATACGATACTGTAAACAAGGCCATAAATTGTGTTTTTTTTGGTTCTAGCCAGGGTTGCATCAGGAAGGGCTTCCGGCGTCAAACACGTGCCAAATGTCAACATGTGATTCGTCAGTGTGACGATTCGCTGTGGTGACCCCTAAACCGGAAAAGCCGAAAGTGACTTTCTTATAAAATGAGCAACACTCCCTCATTTGCATAAAATCTCCTGTAAAACATAAACTTTTTTATCCTATCAGAACAGAGATCTGTATTTACATTTGTCACAGTCCCTGTAACATCCAACAGCATCGCACTACTTGGCATGTGAACTATTGATTAAAAATTTATACTGTGTTGTTGAGAATCGATCGAGTATCACAAAACATAATATCATAATACTCAAGTGTATCAATATTTTCTTAAACCCCTAGTTATAACTGACTGTGCACTTCTCTTGTTAAGCATAGCTGGGTTTACTGAGAATTGTAGCCCTAACGCTATTAATGCTAATTTCTGTGCTCCTACTGTTGAACTATCGATGAGCACAACTACGATACACACACACTTTAAATTATTAAGAATATGTAGCAGTGATCTTATGCCAGAGCTTTTCCGCCCTTGTCATACATGGGCAGATAGCCTGAGTTTATTTTAGCTTGCCAGCTTTAGTCGTGTATGCCCAGAACTGATTAGCAAGCACTTTGCAGAAGCTCAAAAACAGGCCTGTTTTGTAATGAGTTACGGTTTCTCTCTCTCTCTCTGCTGCACTCAGGTCTGAACTCCATCCTGTTTGCCATCAATATTGACAACAGCGACCTAAATGGTGGGGTGATGCGAGGAGGGGTCTCGTCAGTGTCCCACCTTCTCAAGGAGTCCACGCAGGGCATCGGCAGCCTGTGGAAGGAGTCGACTCAGGGGGGCACCAGCCTGCTCAGCACCGCCACGGCCGTGGTTCCCGGCTTCACCCCCAGAGTGAACGGAACCTCAGACCCGCTACCGGTTTTGCCACGCAGCACCTCTGCTGGTAGGAAACAGCAGCGTTTGTTTTGATGTGACAGAAATAATCCACAATATTGTTTGCCAAGAAATGCTAAATATGTTGTTTGTTTTTGTTGAGATTGTGTTGTTTCAACTATTGACAAGCAGACAGGACTATCAGGACTATTTAATCGTATTGAAAAGTGTTTTTGTCTGTTTGTCCTCCCCTTGAGTGGCCTCTACCAGGATGACAGTGCCCCCATCCATAGGGCACGAGGGGTCACTGAGTGGTTTGATGTGAATCATATGCTGTGGCCGTCACAGTCACCAGATTAGGGCTGCAGCTAGTGATTATTTTAATAATAGATTAACCTCTCGATTACTTCTATGATTCATTGGATATATTGAAAACATGCAGAAATCTATTTTCCATATAATAAAAAATGTTTCATTTTGGAGTGACGTGGTAGAAAACATCTCCTGCCCCATCATCAAAACACCAAATCAGTTCATCCCTCAGTCGAGTTCAGAGACTTGTACAGTCAGTGCCAGGGAGCACTGAAGCTGCTCTGGTGACATGTAGTGGACCAACATCTCATTAAGACGCTTTATGTTGGTGGGTCCTTTCATTTGTCACCTGTCCGTTTGGCATGATCCACTGCTTTTAACATGAAAGAATGTGTCAGAGGATGGACACGTGCTGTATTTTGTTGATACAGCACGTGGCTATTTACTTCCCACAACCATCACAAAGAGTCTGAGCTTGCATAACGAATGCTCCGGTAGAACAAATTTGGTGGAAGCAACACAAGGCGTCTGCAGCACAGAGCTTCAGCAGTAATGAAATCCCCCATGAAAGGAATAAACTTCCAGAATGTCGGCCTCTGTGTTTGACCTCATTTAGCTGCCTGCCCCAGTCCTTTCCATCAGGAAGACTCGCTCCATTTTCTCTCTATATGTTCTGCTCACTGGGATGAATAAGAGGTTTTAAATTTAAACCGTGTGGTTGTAAAACTTTCTACTAGAATGAAAGTTGAGGCACTGGCTCCTCAGGTAAGAAGCTGATTATTCACTGTAGAAGACTTGCTAATGACGTCACTGTTACTAAACTGTGTGAACATTTGGACGGAGTTGGTCTAAACAGGGTAAAGTACCAAATAAATTTTAGTTTCACTTAATTCGGTGTGAAGACTGAGGTGTTTGTTCACTTCGTTTTCATCTTTTGCCTGCTCAGACTCGGGGTTGAGGAAAGAGCGCCGGAGGAAAAAGAAGATCACCAACATCATTTCCTTTGATGATGATCTGGATGGTGGGGCAGAGGATGAGGAGGAGGGGGAGGAGGACTCCCAGAAGATGGGCATGATCAGAAAAGGTCGTGCTGCTCCTGCTCAGAGCAGCGTGGATGAAGGCATAGATCCTTTGGAGCCGGCCTTCTCCCAGTCGCCAGCCCAGAATGGCATAGTTGAGACGGATGTAGTGAGCTGGGTGGGCTCCCCCCATCCCTCACGTACAGCTCCCATAACTGCAGCCCCTCTGCCTGATAGTAAGAGTATAGACAACGAAGAGGAAGAGGAGGAGATGTACAAACCCAGAGCACATACCCAGGAAGAGGAGAGGATCAGCTCTGATCAGTGAGTCAGCTGAGTTCAGCTCAGTGTTAGAAAAGGTTGCAAAAACTATAAATAGAGATGTTTCACATTTTTTTTATTTATTCTGACAGAAATTACTGTGGGCTCACCTTGATGGGTTTCCAGTACAATGCTTATGAACTTAAAAAAGATGATTATAAAAAAAACAGTAAAAATTAAAATCTGCCCATATTTTGTTTGACCCTGTTTTTATTTGTTGAGTTTTCAGCCTATGGGTTCCTGCAGCTGATTTGTAGGATCCAAGAGCAAGTTTTCTCTGGGCAAAATAAAGGTGTCCTTTAATCGTAAAGCTAATTCATTCAGAGCTTGTCGTGTCAAAGCAGTAGAAAATTAAACCTAGTTATAGGACACTGGGTAAATCCCAAGTCGCCTTAACTGATCATTCCTCCATCCTCGCTCGACGCGAACCTTGTGGTAATGATCTACATTTTTGAAGGATGTCCTAAAGGCTGCTTGAAGGAGGCATGAGTGAGAATGCACCAGAATATCCTTTGTGGGAGACATGGATGCAATTAAGGCAACTGGGATTTACTGAAGAGATCTAAACTCTAGCAACACTTACAATATGTTAAACGACTTAATTGTGGGAACAACATGTTTAAGCTTGTGGCCTTCATCAGGGTTTGTAGGGAACTGGGATTTACCCAGGGAATCTATTGTAACATTATACGACTTCGTGTTTACTTCCCCTGAAGTGTCCGTCTCTGAACACGACTGGAATGGGCTATACATTGTGTTGTGCAGTTGAGGCTGTAATACGTCAACAGCTGACCTATGGGTCAGAATAGGAGTGAAATGCACTGACTGTTCTGGGAACAGCCACAAACCAAACTGAATGAGATTAACATCCGTTTGTTTCAGGGTGGTGGTGGGAAGCCTGTCCAGTGTATCCACGTGGAGCCCTCTGCAGGTGATGACCGACCACAGCAGCTCAGACATCCTCATTCCTGTGAACCCTGCAGACCCTCAGCCAGGTAGGAAATGTACCAAATCAAAAGAGTCCTGGATGTACAAAAACAAGCAGATAAATAAAGGATATTAGAAGCACTTCCTGAGCCACACTGTGCCAAATCGATATTTAATCTTTTGAACACCTTTAGCAGTAAACATTTTACAGTTTGAGATTCTGTTATGTTTGACTGTTTTTACTGCTGACAACAGCAGCTTATGGCTTCAGTGCAGGGCTCAGTTAGACAGCAGATAAAATTCAGGGACATTCTCTATTACCCTGTACTTTCACTTTTACTTTTACCTTGTCAGTGAGCTCTGTGGAGGATACAGCTGCATTTCATGCTCAGTGTGATTCAACAGGACCGCTGGGAAACTATGAGAATAGCAGATCGGATCTAACATTCAAGTAAGCTGCCGTTTCAGGCGAGAGAAGTGTATTGTTGTGAAAATTTTGTGCAGTGCAGGGTCAAAATATTCATCAGCGCCATGGGTATAAACAGGCAGGCATCCTAATTTTGTGTTGCAGCTTTGTCTTTGTAAATGATGATTTAATTCTAATACATTTGAAGTACAGACTTCCTCCTCTCATGCGTTGCAGTATGGAGTCCAGTCCACCCACGCAGTCGGCTTCACTCTCCGGCGTGCTGCCGACATCTGGTCTGCCCGAGTCCATGACAGTGGGTGAGTGTCTCTCCTCGTCCCATCCGCCAGTCTTTTACTGTTTGTCGCTCTCTCTTGCTTTTCTTGTTCGGGTTGAACTCCAACCTGTTCTGTGGAATGAATCATCGTGGATTTTGCCTCATGGGTGCCAACATCATGACAAATAAAGAGTGTCTCTTCTTGTAGCAGTTGGATCACTTCAGCTGCAAAAAACAAGGGTTGAACATGCAACATAAACAAGGCAGGTTTCATTTCTCATGAGTGATGGGTATGTTGAAATTTCCAGAGAAAATCTAGCAACTGCAACTCCCCTCAAAACTACTATAAGACTTCATCTTTGTATAGGCAAAGAATTGTCAGAAATTGAAGTTACAGAATTTGAAGTACAGCCACGTTCTCTAGGAGAACATAGGAAACCATGGAAATAAAATGTTTTAAGTTCTTTGTAATTCTGAGGTTAAATTAAATCAAACCTACCAATGATTCACATTAGATGTGACATCAAATATTACAGTTGTTGACTCTCCCCCCTCCTCCCGAGGCTTTATCTGAAGGCAACCTCAGAGTATATTCCCAAGAAGTCTGTAATGAATCCTTTGGAAGTCCTGACATGCCTTTCTCTGGAAGTTTCACCACTGTTGTCGTCTATAACAAATTAAATCAAACTTGCTGATTAGTGTAGGTAAAGCAGTCTAATTATGAGTGAAGTCCTGCACCAAGATGTTGCTCCATTCTTTTCCACATCTCCATCATAGCAAATAATCCAGCAGGTGGCACTGTTGGTCCAGTGTGTGCCCACGTTACTCAGCTTATATATATACGCTCATCTGCTCCCCTCAGAGGAAGGCAGGTTGGGTAAATTCCTGCAATTTACATCAGCTATGAGATTTTCATATGTGGATAAAAATTTCAGTTTCAAAAAAAAAAAAAAACTTGATGAGCATTGTGTGTGTGTGATTGGTGTTCTGCTCAGTACCCTGTCGCTAATCAGAGCTTAGACCATTAGATGCTCACACTGATGTTGCTTGGTGCCTTGGATCGTGTGTGTGTGTGTGTGTGTGTGTGTGTGTGAACGAGGGAGAGAAAGAGAGACAGAGAGAGAGAGCCAGGCGAGGAAAGGTGAGTGGAGCTGCCTGTAAGCACCTGGACTGAGCCATCATCCAATCTATTAGCCCTTAGTGAGAGGAGCTCATGAGGTCATGGAGAGAGATGGGAATCTAAAAATCACTGGTATAGAAGCAGAGAAAAGAGTCTTCAAGGCACAGAGCTTTGTGAGGCCATTGAAGGATGCAAAACAGCAGACCTCAGTCAAGGATGAGGTTATGGTTAACAAGATAAACTCTGTGTGAAACAAAGTAACACTGCTGTTAACACCTGGTTTGATGCCAGCCCCATAGAATCAAAGAGCTTTTTCTCCAGTCTCTCTGACAGCCAGAAATCAGAATGGGATACCAATGTCTACACCTGACGTCGGCTCAGTAGACCAGAATGCAAAACAGATTTAGCATTTTGAGTAAAAGACTGTGACTTTTTCTCGACTGGAAAAGTCTCGTTTTCTTGCTCTCACTGTCACTGGCTCTGGTGCTTTGCTCTCCCTCTGCCTACTCACATAACCCAAGGCAGCAAGTACAGCCACGTTCTCCTGGAGCTGATGCGGAGTTGTTCATGGGAAACGTAGGAAACCATAGAGGAAGATGAAGATAAGGCAGGAGCAAGTAAGACTCTGCACTACTCATGTTTTCTTCTAATGGAAGATGGGAAATGTAGTATCCAGTGTTTTTAGGGTTTAACTCATATTGGAGACAAAAAAAAATCCTGAAATCTCAACCTCTCCTGCTTTGACTATTCTGTTTGTTAGCATCAGTCTTTCACTAACTTCATAGAAGCCCAGTGCAAAATTTCTTGAGCTCTTTGGTTAAATCTGGAATCAAAATTAGCCGTTAACTGACTCATATACTCACACAAGCCAGTAATCAGCTGTGCCATGAACAGAAACGTTAGCAGCATATCACTGCAGTATGTGTATCTTTAGTACAAAGGAATAGTAAAAACCACTAATAACATTTTTTTTCATGATTATGGCTTTGTGAAGCATGCACAATACAAAATCAATGCAAAACATGAAGGATTTTTAAGGTGTGTGTGTGGGAGAAACTGAGAGGAAGAAGCAGAAGTGTGTGATGAAAGCTCTCCCTCTGTGATTTCCATCCGAATCTGACTATGTGTGAGGCCAAGCACTCCGCTGAGTGTATAGTATAAAGTCTGTAATTCACAAGGCACCTCGATTACATGGCGTCTATTAATGGAACAGTTGAGCTAATGCTTATAGCTTCTGGTGGAGACACACACAGAGAAACACACTTCCCAGCAAAGGTAGCTCTTAGACATATGAGCACAAAGCTTCACACATATTTATATCCACCCTCTTTCTCTCTCTCACACACACACACAGACTCACACACTGTAATTTATCCATGCCCCCCCCCGTGAGGACAGGTGTGCCTGGTTCTATGGCTCGGCTGTGGCACTCTCTGTGGACTCGTGGTTACGCTGAAGGTCACATTTATTTCTGGCGTGCTGGTGTGGAGATGATGGACTTTCTGTTTTCTCCTCTACTCTGTCTCCTCCTCTTCATCACACTCCTGCTCCTCATCTTTTCTCCTCCTCCTCCAACCAGGCACTCGACTTGGGGCTGGATGAGACCTACTTGTTTCTGGTGCTACATCGACACCCTACATTAGTTATGAGAAGAGAGCCGTGGTCTCTGGGTGTGTGTGTGTGTGTGTGTGTGTGTATAAATGGTGGAATGCAAGGTGCAGGGGAGATTAACTCCTTGTCTCATGGTTTTTATTTTTGGTAACAACCTAGTTAGGGGATTTGAAACCTTCATGCATACCTCCATGTGTAACCATGGAGATGAGTCACTGTACTACCACAGATCCCAGCCCAATACTTTGCTAACATTAGAATGCACGTTAGCATCCAGACTTTGGCTTGTAGCACATACTGTTCCACTGGCTGCTGAGAATTTTACACCAAAGCTGGCTGTACCTACTTTGTAGTATCTACAGCAACAAAAGACAAGTAGGGATGCCACTGGTTTACATCTCAGCGCTTTCACTGATTGTTTAGTCTGTAAAATGTCAGAAACAAGTGAAAAGAACCTAAGACGGGTTTCTAGGCCAAGGTGACACAGGTTGTTTGGTTTGCTTATCCAACAGTCCAAAACCAAAAGATAGCCACTTTGTAATCATAAAGGATAGTTGTCGCACTGGAGAAGCTCAAATCTGCTCCTTTAAAGTTAACTGTTGGTTTTAACACAACATTACGTCATTCTGTGTGATGATTTCTGGAAAACGCTGTGATAAAATAAACTTTGTGTGGCTTTGTTGGAAACTCAGCCTTCCAGAGTTTCGTTTTTCTCAGGGCAAATATCTGTCGTACATTTTAAGATATATAGAAATACGTTTTCAAAGGGCTGAACATGAGCTCCTGCTGATCAACTGAGTAGTTTATGAAACTATTACAGTGACAAGTTTTGAGAAGCCCCAATATAAATGACAGGTACAGCATTTACACGAGTAATTGCTTTAACTTAATTGACATTTAGCGTGTGTGTGCTTGTCTGACACATTGTGTAGCTGAAACACACAGTAATGGCCAAGTAGAGCTTGCTTTCCTACTTTCTTGATATATAGTTTAATAGAAATGGTAACTAGTGTTTTCCTCCCACAGGTTTAACTTGCATTAGTTTCTTTCCTCAGTGTTTTATCATAGCTACAATAGAAGTATGATTTACCAGTAAAACTCCCGTTCTCTGTGAGTCAGATCTCGTTCTGTGTAGCTTCAGCCTGATTTCATCAAAGCATCTCAGGACTGGAGCAAAAGTACGACATTATTCCAGCGAGTGTAGAGTGAATGTGGGGCTTTGTCTTTTCTGAAGTTGAAAGCACAAGGTTATTAGTTTATGCATATTGCTGTGTGTAGTGTCTGTGTGTGTTTTACGTAGCAGAAGTAGTTTCATGTGCAGAAGCCTCACCCTGCTCTCTCTTCTCTGCAGTGGAGCTGCGCCAGGCCATTGTAGCCATGATGAACAGGAAGGACGAGCTGGAGGAACAAAACACGTACGTTAGGATGAATTCTCCTTATCTACTGCTCACAAACCAGCAAACCCACATGCACACACACACTCTCAGACTAGAAGAAGATATCAAATGACCTTCCTGTGGAAATTGTGTCAGCCTGTTTTCTTTTTGTCCTGAGGCTTTTTGTGCTCAGTTGAGGCAGGAAACAGTTGCTTTGTTTTTACTAATAACCTGCCAAAGACTATAATTTGTACTCACTAAACAGTTGCTAAAATACAAAACATAAAATTCTGCTGGAGTGACCGAAAACACATTTTAACACAAATTTGTGTGTAATCTTGATGAATGCGAATCTTCTGCCAAGCAGTGTTTTGATAAACTGTGATTTATACTTGGGATATTAAATTAACAGCAATCTGGTCACAGTTGTGTGTTGAATAAGTGTTTTATGACCGAGCTGAGTGTGATTCATCCAGTTATTGTACCAATTAATGAAGCTTAAAAATGTTTATCTGATCTGCTGTTTATGAAAATAATACTGCCAGAATGTCAGCAGCTAATATGCTAAATACAGAGGAGGTACCACTTGAAGCTGATCGGGACAGAAAGCTGCATTGTTTTGAACACAAACATGTAAGATCCACTTTTGTGGTGGGCAGGTCTCTTCGCAGCCTGCTGGATGGAGAGATGGAGCACTCAGCTGGCCTGAGGCAGGAAACTGATCTGCTGAAGAAGAAGCTGGCAGAGCTGGAGGAGAGACACACAGCTAAGGTCCAGGCACTGGCCAGGTGAGAAACGCCTCTGGTGTCTGTACAGCTTACTTTAACATTGTCACTTCTACTCACTGTATGGAAGATTAAAGCTGCACCAGCCAAGAGTAAAAAAAATAAAATAAATAAAAGGGGCATTAATGCAGAAAAGGGCTTAAACTGTGGTCAGTGGGTTAATCAACCAGATGAGTATTAGAAAATGAACTATTTTAAATATTCTTTTAGCCATTTTTAATCAAAAGGCATTATGCAATAGAAGTTCACGTTACAGGCCTTTGATGCCCAGTTCTGAATTTGTCACACGTGTTCAGATTTAACTGAAATGTCAGCCAGGTGTGTACAAGAATAGTAACAAAATGTGCGACCGTCAAATCATGCAGTGTCCTCACAAACAGCTCAGTTATGACATGTTCCTTCTGGTTCGGCTTAAACACAAGCTTTTCCATAAATGTTCCTGGTCTCTCCATCGACCCCGGCTGCTGCTGTTGCTCACCTCCATGTTTGTTTTTACCCATCCGTGAGGTGCCGACACTGAATGGTGCAGAGGAGGGGTATGGTAAAAAACAAAATCACATGATTCTGATCTGACAGTTCTGACAGTGGTTGCATGGTCAGAGATATGAGTCGGATCTAGGACCACATTATATGAGAAAATCTGATTTGGTTTGTTTACACATCTGTGGGAAAATCAGATCTGAGTCACTTGGTGGGAAAAAAAAGTTGGCTGTGCGCCACTTCAGCAGGTAGTGTGTCGCTTTTAATTCTGGGAAATTGTATGGGCATTTTTTTGATGTTATGGAGATAAAAGTGTTTAATCGATTAATCTAGAATTTAGTAGCAGATCACTCAATAATGAAAAATGTTACTGCTCTTTAAATAACACATCAAGACTAATGCAGTGTTTCCACTTCCCATGTGTCTTCTACAGAAAATAAATAGACCCACTAATGGCTGAATATCTCAGCAAAAGATCACATTATCTTTTCTTTCCACCTGAAGTAAAGTGTGCAGTTTCTTAATGTAGTTCCGCACTACACGGCCATTATATCACTATCTGCAGCCAATAAATTCCAACACTGACAGCTACCTGGCACACTGCGTTTTACTCCAAACAAATCTAAATGTCAACATGAGAAAAGTGCCCAGTTTGAGGACCAAATTCAACAGAAGCATCTAGTGAAGTGTAATCAATCTCATGTTCACTATAAGAGCTGCTAGGTTTTAGCCTGAGGACGGAGGGTGTTTGGACATTGTTTCCTCCATCTTCAGCCGGACTTGAGAAGAGCTGGGTGGAATCAACCCGGAGCCAGAAATGTCATCATTTGATATTATAATGGTTGTGTCATTAGCACTGGGCATTAACCTGTCCACCCCCTGCAGACATATAATAACTGTTTTGCACTGTGGGCTACACTTTTTACATAATGCAGATTTAATTGCATGGCCTTCCACATATACATTATGCAGTTTGACTTGACGTAGCAGACAATACGCAGGTGTTGCTAATAAGTAGTTGATATTATTAGCTGCACCTGTGTTGGATAAATCAAAGATGACAAGCCGGTGCGTGAACTTTTGTTTTCCCTTTTGTTTATTTGTCATTTGCATCTCCAAATTTAAACAAAGAAACGTGTTACTGATGCTGTGCGCTGACTGACAAGTGTAAAAGCTGAACTAGGCCAGAGGACCTCCTTGTCTGTGATTAAAGTCACTTTGTTGCTGCTGACTGTGCAGTGCTGTGCCTCAAACCTACAGGAGCTGCACCACTGTTTACATATAATAACAGTAATTACCACTACACCACCTAATGGCAAGAGCCTTACCCACACAGTAACAGGAACTACAGTATATTTGTGTAAGTGTCATTGTTAAGTCTCCACATTCAGTTCAGTCTGCTCATGTTTAAAAGTACAGGAGGTCAAACACAGCCTCTTGGATGAGAGGTGAAACGTCTTCGATCTAGAAATCTAAGTCCAGTTGATCTTTCTAAGGTCATTTCATTTTACTCTGACCTGGATGACTGAGAATCTGCACAGACGAGGTCAAACACAGATATTACAAAAGCTTTTGTTCCCTTCATTGTGGAGTGTTTTGCTTGCTTCCATAAATCATGCATACATGCACTTTTATTCCAATAAGCGACCACCTCCAGTTTCCCTGAAAGTGAATTGCATCACCTCTGCATCTGCAATTGATTGCCTGTGTGCCAGAAGTCTTCAGTCAAACCCCAAGCTCTAGAGGATTAGTCATCCTTAAACAGAAAGCCCTGGCAAGTCTGTGTTCAGATAGCAGCCTCTTACAGTAAGTCAAGCCACCAGCTAGGACTGATCGAGTGACTCAATGTTAAGTGCGGAGGGACTGCTAAAGCTGATGGGTTTTTAGTTTGAAGAGGACAGTGCGACAACCGACAGAGTTTTGTTAATATGTGAATATTTTCATGTTCACATGGAGGGGAAATGGGGGAGAGCAACGGTGTACAAGGAACAAAGGATTGCCTCACTCTCTCTGTAGGTGACTATGACATACATTGTGCTTTTCTATTCAACCACACACACACAACTTTAGAAACACTAAGCCTATTCTATAGGCCGCTGTTAAATCTCAAGTGCTGCTTTTCCTTCTCAGCCAAATCTCTCTCGATCAATAGCAGCTATAAATACCAGTGAAGGAGCAGCTAGCCACTGAATGAGGGCTGGAAGCTGTCAGCATCATTCACTGAAAGCGGATACTGGCAACGGTTGCTATGTGTCCCACAATTCTTTGTGAGTCTCCTGCACTAAGGGTGAATTAGAAGTCTGAAAGCCTGATACCAACCAGTAACATCTTAACACTCGAAAGGTCAGCTGGCTCGCTTGTTGACCAACAGCTGACTGACATAGTTTACTGCTGCGGAGTGAACTGAGATGCTGACTGAGACTGATTACTTAAACCGTGCTAATTTTGACAGAAATTATTCTCAAGTTCATGTTGAATGTTTATCTTCTGCACCAGATGGTCTGACTGTTTGAGAAAAGATGCTGCCAGTCATTTGCTTATTTTAGTGCTTCTCCTAGTAATACCACTTTTATAGTAGAGCAGCACCTAAACCCAGGGAACTGGTGAGTGTGTCTTGAGCCAGGCTGTATGTGGGGGTGGCAGAGGATGAGCGAGCCGCCATAGATAGATTTTGGCTGACGCAGACTCCGGCAGAGGGGAGTGGGTTAAAACGAGCCGCTGCTCACTTACCGAGTTAGTCACACACAAAACTCCGATATACAGTAGGACCCTTACTCGCACGTTCATCCAAATATAACATGAAAATGTAAGATCCGTGTGCACACACTGACACGTAGCGGCCCACGTCCTCGCTCCCAACTGACTGTAGGAATCACAGTTCACATGGAACAGTCCTGCGACAATGCGCACACTGCCCCAAAATGTCTTCAGAGCAACCTCATCAACTCTGTTCTCACCAGCATGCAACAACAACTGTTCTCGGTAATGAATGTTCCACAGGTGCCTAATAAAACAACACACAATTATTGGCTGAACACCTCAGTAGCAGTATTGTGACAACTATTGTTGGTCTCAGAACATATCTACACAATAGAGCATTATGGGAAACTGGTTATAAATAAGTATGATGTCTTAAAAATGAATATAAGTTAACAAAATATGAACAGAGAGCAGTAGTGATTTTAGACAAATGATGTTGCTGATGACATTGTGTAATTTTCATGCATGCACGTAGCTTTTAAGAATATCACACTATAGTGTTTAATCTGTGAATTAATGCTGAATTAGCTACAAATTGCTGTCAGCATCAACTTTTTACTTTCCCGGACACCTTCAAATTATCACTGTAACCATATTATGACGACTGTATAGCTGTTGTCAGGTTTAATGTTTATCTTTGACAAGTGTTCAATAATAGGAATCATTAATGTTTGTAGTTTTGGAAGAAGTACTCAGATTCTCGACTTAAATAAAAGCACCACAGTGTAAAAATACTTTGTTACAAGTAAAAATCCTGCATAAAAATGTTACTTAAATAAAAGTACAAAAGTACTGGCATCAAATATACTTCAAATACCAAAAGCACTTATTATGTAGAATAAACCATTACACATGAACGTATATTGTATTACTGGACTTTAATTAATGGATTCATTCGTTGTTGCAGTTGGTAAAAGGGGAGCTAGTTTTTACTGCCTTATATGCTTAGAATTTGAATGACTTGATGGATTCATGGTGGAAAATTTACAAGCTACCCAGCAGTATGTAAAGTCTTATGATTATAGTGTTCGTTGTATTATTAATCTGGTCATGAAAAGTATCCAGTAAATAAAGTCAAATAAATGTAGTGGAAGTACAATATTTGCCTCTAAAATGTAGTGAAAGTATAAAGTAGTAGAATATGAAAATACTCAAGTGAAGTACAGATGCCTCAGAATTGTACTTAAGAGTAAGTAATTGAAGTGAGTAAATGTACATAGTTACTTTCCACCAGTGAATGCATACTGTATATTACCTCATTAAATGCTAATGCTCATGCTTTTCCTATAGAAAGTTAGTTAAGCTTACTTGTATGTTGACACACTCATAAAATAGATGTTCAGAACTGAAATGGCGTTGGTCTGAATGTCTAACCAAAAAACCATTTCTCTCAAAACACACACACACACAGACAAAGTTCCTCTTTCCCCACAAACACTTTGTGTCCCCCTTTTTAGCCATCAGCTGGCAGAGTCGAAAGCAGGCCTCACTCAGCGGGAAGGCAGGAAGGCGGCCAGCCGAGTGGGCTCGGGCCAGGAAGCGGTACCTCGTCACTGGGAGAGGGGGTGGTTGGACAGGCGGACACACATTCTCTCTCTCTCTCTTTCTCTCTCTCTCTCTCTCACACACACACACACACAAGAGAAACTGGAGCAGATGCCTTTTTCTTACCTGGCAGAGCTGCCGTCTTTTCTGCAGACCGTCTGGCACAGCTCGTCCAAGAAGCGGCAAGGAGAGCAGCCCAGGAGCTCGCCTAGTTTACTTGTTAGGAGTGTTTAGGTTTGCTGTTTTTTGTCTTTGGGAAGTCAATTATGTCGCTCTGCGTATAGGGGCTATTTCCTGTCAGTGCTGAAGTTTTAATAGCCCAGTCCTGCACCCCCATAGCCTTGTTCTTGGGTGTAGATACCTATATATATTGTGTGTGTGTATGTTTATACAGCTTTGGGCCTTAAGCTTTTGGAAGTGTGACACAAGAGTCTATATACTTAGTGTTTTCTTTTTTTTTTTTTGTTCTTCAGAGCCCGAGCAGTAAATAGCACTCTGGGGCATTACCCAACAACTGAGCTGTCGTCTCTGAAGGCATCTGTGTACCTCTCATTTACTACTTCCAAACGAAACAGGCCATAAGCTGAAGAAGAACCAGTTTACAGGTAGCTGTGTTTATTGCACATTAAGAAGACTACCAAGCACAGGGATAATAAAGGGAGGGGGGATACATCGGGGAGAGAGAGGGAGAGAAAATTATCACCCCAGGGCTTCGACTCAACTTCAGTAATTACTGTGTGTACTTTAAGTTAAGGCTTTTCTCTTGAGATACTTTTTTCTCTCGTTGTTCCAGAGAAGATAAGATTCTCCATCACTCCCCTCTCTGCTACAGTATTTGCTTCATAAAAAACACACAAATTTCACATTCTTCACAAACTCTTGAGTTTCACATTAAATATGTACACTTTATCTGAGACACACACGGTTTCCCTCTCTTTCACACACAGCGCACACAACAGCTGTGGTTTCTTTAAGTCTCTCTGAGGCACGCAGCCTTTTTTCTGCCACAGTTTCATCTGCACACAAAACAACCACAAACTCTTTTATAAATCCTCTTATCACTGTTTGTCTTTTTCACTCGTCTCTCACATGGAAGAAGATGACATGACTACTAAGTGACTACTAATAGGCTTTTCCTCTAAGCAGGCATTTATTGTAAGTGTATTTCTGGGTCCTTCACCTTAATGAGAAAGGGGTTTTTGGCTGGTCCCACGTCAGCTGGAACAAGAATGCAGTTTCTGCAGAAGAGATGCCAAGCAAGTACTTCACTCTGGATGCGCTCATTTAAAACATTACTGTCCCCTTAAGGCAGAGAAGATGGAGTTTCAGATGAGTTTGAAACACCACAGTGATCCTACATTCACTAGCAGCTAAGCATCAAACAACTTAATGCCTTAATGTCATCTACAGAGAGCTGCGGCTTCTTGTTGTGGTTTTGGGGTTGAGAAAATTGCACAATATTACCACCCCCAGGGGGGCTTGATAGTTTAGCTTTGTTTGGTACTGTATGTTTCCTACATATTCTCTCCTGTGGCTCTGAATGGTGCTTGTCTACTAAACCGAGTTTGTAATGTGCAGCTCAGAGGTCTAGGAATGCAGCCTTGATGTGTATTTAAGTTTATAGTTATTCAGTTGTATGGGTGCATTGTAAACACAATATATGCTAGATAGTTGACTCACTAGTGTCCAGATTAATGGAACTCGGGATGGAAGTTCTCCTTCTGTGAAGGAATTGCAACTGCAACTGCAGCTGACCCTTCGCATCAGCCGTGACATAGTGCTTCAATAGCTAGTTCATAGTGGTATTAAAAATCTAGTGGTGTGGGGAAGTAGAAAACAACTGTAAGCAAATAAGTAGAAGTAACCACATCTTATAAGCTGCTAAGGCTACCGTGTTAGCAAAAACTTTCTTACTTACACATCCAGGTCCTGTTTCAGGTCACCTGTGAATGTAAGTCCAGTAGTCTTTCACTTCTGAACTCTCATCTTACTCTTCAGATGATAAATGTTCCACTTGGTTGAACCAGCTGGTTGTAAATTTTAAATGTCTTTTGTGTTTTCCACAACGTTGGACTACTATTTATTTCACTGGCCAGGTAAAAAGGCTTCTCATGGACTGTAATAATTTACTACTGTTCTTTTTGTACCATCAGGGAATTTTCCCTGGTTGTTAGTTATATAGGCTCTGTTTCACTGAATCAGTCCCTTAGCCCCCAGTCAGTATCACTGAGATTGACTGCTCCACACACAGTAAGGGGCCTTCCAAGCAAATTGTAACCAAATTTAGAGGAAATTGGCAAAAGAAGATGCACATGACTGGCTGATACGACCACCCATATTTAAAACCTGTTTTCCGGTTTGTTTGCCCACCTCCATTAATGGGCGGGGGAGGGCAAACTGGGCTAGCGTGCTGTAGGGTTTGGGTCACTGAGATAACTATTTGTGGTGCTGATTGTTTTCTCCAGTGCCGTTAAATCTTTGCAGAAGAAGAGAGTGCAACTAGATGACCTAAAAAGAAAGAGCGCCAGGCAAACCTAAAACTGTAGGAACGTTGTGGAACTGTGGAATTTTCATTTGTGTTTAATTCACTGAGCGTCTTTCCATTGCAGTTTGTTGTACTTTACTTTTGTCGATACAGATCATTTTTCATTATTGCAACAGAGAGTTTGGGTTAACAAAATCATGCTATACTCCAATCGTCTTAACAAGTAGGCTGAAAAATGTTAGGTGGACTGATAAACCCTGTCTGACAAACAACTGGGCTACTTTTATGATGGTTGGGCCGTCTGGCATCTACAACAAAGAACTGGGCTACTTTTATGATGGTTGGGCAGGTTTGAGACTAATGGTGCTGCTTAGTGTCAGTCACATCTCGCAGTTTGGTGCTGGGCTTGTAGCGTACAGTTAATTTATCAGAGCCATTATTTCTGAAAACTACTGCCTAACAGAATTAGTGGGCCTAAGAACCAAAACGATGAGCTAAAGGGGCTAAAAAGCTCCATGAAGGCAGTGGCAGAGTAGGGTGATAATGCCAGTGGATGATGACGCTTTATGAGTGACCTCTTTTATATTACACATTGGATCAGCGCTACATACAAAAATATTTAATGGTGCAGCTTTAATGTCTTCACAAGGCAGCGCAAGTGGACACAGGTACACAATGAACTTGAGTGTTTCACCTTTGTAATGATGAAATGGTAAGATGTGTGTGTTTGTGCGAAAGAGCTGAAGTGACTGAGCTGTTAATAAGGAAAACCTCTACATTTGTTAGAAGAAAGTTTTAACCTGAGCTTCAGGCCTCAAGGTCAGTTCGCTCACATTTTGTCAAGTGCTATAAATCAGTAAAATGAGATGCTTCTGAATATTTGCGTACCTTGCTTAGCCCCTACACAAACACACACACCTAGAGCAAGTGGCATGTATGAGCTCTAATTTAATCAGGCTGGTACAGCGTCCGGGCTGCGGGTGGTTCTGATAATCATGAGGTGGACGGCCCTTTGGCGAGCTTGTCATGTGGATTCAGGAGGTCTCCCGGCAGGCGCCTGTTTTGTTGGTGGGGAATGGGGGCTGATAAGCAGGGCACCAAAAATCACCCGTGGAGAATGAAGGATAGGGGGTGTGGTGGTGAAGCAGGACAAAGGCTGTTAAATTTAACGACCAAGGGCATAAAGCTACACTCCAACTCTGATTGATTTCCTCCCCAAAGTCAGTGATGTTCAACCACTTACGGCTTGTAAAGAGCCTGCCTCTGGCTTTTTTCTTTATCACTGTCTTTGTGTCGGTGTCTTCAGCCTCAGTCCAACTTGGGCACATACACAAACCACCACTGCACTGAGCAGTGCTGATGTGCACCGCAGGACTGTAGCTTATCTGGACTGTACCTCTGACCCTATTTACACATGGCATTAACCTGCACCTTCTACCCAGGCTTTTATCTGATAAGGCTGGGTTACACATAAATGTGCTGTTAAAATGCATGTCTGAGATGCTGACCACTGAAATCCTGTTTTCCTTTGAGTATATGATGCCCCACCTTTTAATAGTTAGACAAGAAAAAGTACTTTTATTCTGTTCATGTATACATGCATCATAAAATATATTGAGACCCTCATCTAAGTTATGAACAAACACAATCTATCTCAATTAATAATATGCAAATCATTGTCCATATACTGTAGCTTACATTATTCAGACTTTAAGGGCCCTGTTTTGATGTTCTAAAGCATATCTTTACAGGCGCAACAATCAAGGTGCATACAGAGCATGTCCAGACCAATTTTGCTATTTTGATGGGACAGAAGGTTTATCTGCATCAGGTGATTGTTTTAAAAGGGTTGGACTTACTCTCCTAATTAACCCAAGGATGTGTTTTGGGCGTAACACGCAATAAGCCAATCAAAATGCCATCTCATATTCCCTTTAAAAGACAGTCACGCTGGTACCACAGTGGATAGCTATTATGACATCAGATTTACCTGGAGGGAGACAGGAGCAATTTAAATGCCTGTGTAGAGCCACGATTGACCATTTACATTGACCATTATCGTGACCAAATAATTCTCATACATGATATAATCAACCATTTACATGTTTTAAAACTTGGTGTACAGCGTTTTAATTTAAATTTTGAAAACATTGTCTTTAATCTGTAGCATGTGGTGCAGTGCTGAGAGTTTCTGTGTAGGTGCCAAAGTGTTTGCGCCTTGTGCACCTGCTTATGAACACGCGTAAATCATTTGGTGGCTGGATGCTTCAGATGAAGGATCTGAGGAAAGGATGTCTTGTCGTTAATGTGTTTCCTCGGGTCGTCTCTTGTTTGTTTGTTTTTACAGTGCATTGTAGTGATGGCCTCCTTAGTGTTGGTGTTTTATAAGTGTGTGTGTGTTATAAGCTGTGTCTGTGTGTCTGTTTTTGCAGAGAGAATGAGGTCCTGAAGGTCCAGTTGAAGAAGTATGTGGGGGCGGTGCAGATGCTGAAGAGAGAGGGCAGCCAAGGCAATGACGGTAAAGCACACACACACTCTCTCTCTCTCACTCACACACGCGCACACACACACACACACAGCAGGTGTGTGTGCATCATTATGGCCTGAAATTAGATTTCATATCTGTGTCCCAGTACATCTATTTTGCTCTCAAACAGAAATGCTCACAGATGCACACACAGAGAAATAAGGTCATCATCAGTTTCTTCCACATTCCAGATCAGTTTGGATGCATTTCTCAGGGGCTCAGATGACTAACCTCCCTTTTTATAGTGTATAGCCCTGTCAAATAGAGTCGGCCTTTTTCCCCCATCGGCCCGTCTCTCTCTCTGACTCGGTTTTTTGGGGTAGATTTGATAACTTTGACTTTGTTTTCCCGTTGCTGGGGGGATGTAAGCGGTGCTCTGTGTAAAGACTGGCGAGATAAGCCCCTGCTGTATCAAAGGCAAATAAAATGAACATGGCAGATTATAGAGGGCCACATAATGGCTAATTGCATTCTGGGGGGATAGAGAGGAGAGCTGTTATCTGTGACGCCCTGAAGGGTTTATGTGTTTGTAAGTTTTTGTGAGACAGAGAGGTAAAGAGACACAAAGAACTTTGTAATATAAAGTTATGGGTGTTTTATTTATTTATTTTCTGCAATGACTATAGGACAAATACTGTATATTTTTGTGGCTGAAGTCCTTGGAATAATGCAACATAATGCTTGCATCTCACTATTGGTAGAAAAGAAATGAGTTATTGTAATTTATTTTTAATTGCATTTTAATTTGCTATATTATTATTCATTCACAATTCAAAGGAACCCACCACATCTTAGACAGTGCTATTTAAAAATAGATCAGCCTATGATGAGCAGGTATTTACTGACTGAACGGTAACCCAGCCTGAGCGCTGATATCAAGCCTCTTTGGTGAGACAGCAAACAGACAGAAAACAAGCCAGCTACTTAAATGTCGATGTGAGTGAGTGTTAATAGGATTAATACTTTTAATGTAATTTCTGAATTTCAAGTTGTAGTCTTGTACACTGCTTGTTTCTGAAAAACAGCACCTTTGTTTTCTCTTCCAAAGAGGTTTGACAGATGTGGGCGTTTATTTAAAATCTGTATGATTATCTGACAGCTCTGCTTGAGGCTTTGTTCTCAGAACTCAGCAATTAACTCGATGAGTACTGTGTTATTAATAATGATTAGAATAATGGCTGAAACTAATAAAGTAAGATCCAGACTAAAATGTCCTTTTATCATGCTGAAACCAACCTCCAAATACTGTAGTCCGTGTTTTACCCGGTGACTACAAGATATTATGAAAAAGATGTAGTTATTTAGAAGAGTTCCAGTAGAAGTTTTGACAACCTCCCACATGTTATCCAAGCACAGACATGCCCGACTTTGGCCTACAACGGCGTCTTGTTTAAACCTCACAGCGGCTCCACGTTTCACACTTCACATCTCTTGGTTCCTGGCAGTTGCCGTGTTCATCCTGTTACACATGGCTACCTGACACCACAGAGCACGGTGGGGATCAGCACTGAGGCCTGGAGATGATTGGAGGGAGACGTGCTGATTCCCTCACACATGAAAACACACGTATTATCAGGAAATAGCCGGCCCGACTTTGTACTCTTATCAAACCCGCTCTACTTCGCTCAAACTGACCTTTCATCCTCCCATCATTTGCACCCTTTCACTTTCCTTTTTCACCCCGCCTCCCCCTCTTTGCATTTCCCTCTCATTCCATCCCCTCTCCCCTTATCCCAACAGGCGTAGTAATTCCCTCACCACAGCGGCGTCTAAACGATTTCATCCTCCCTCACCTCTGTCTTCTCCTGCTGATGATGTGCCTCGTTCCATCATACTTTGATGCTGACTGCCAGAGTGTGCTGACGTGTGTGTGTGCGTTTAGAGCAGAGGAGGAGGAATAATATGTGAACAGTTTAGGGGGAGAAAAATGGGATAAAAAAAGAGGATGAACTGATGCCCAAGCACTCTTTCTCTTCATGTGCTATCAGCAGGCTTCCCTGTGATCAGTGTGCAGTTCCCAAATGGTGGACTGCGAGGCAAGTCCAGGTGTGCCATGGGATTTTGTGCCAAATTAGTATTGTATACGACCACAGAAAAAGTTCAGAAAGAATTTTTAATTTACTATATTGCTACTTTGTACGTACTTGTTTCCGAGTTCAGAGGCAAAGCCTACGGCCTAAAAGAACCACCTCAAGAAAAGAGAAAAAGACCTGTCGGTAGACGGTGTCTTGAAAGCTACCTGTCTTATGGTTTCAGCTTGACTGTGGATGTCAACCGCCCTCAGCCCAAGCGCATAGGTCAGGAGAAGTTCTAATGCTAGCGTCCGTGGTGCCAAGTGAGCTGAAGAGCCACTTGGAAACCAAACAGCCCTTCTACATTGACCTAAGAGCGCAGGATCTGCACCAGAGGCAGCAAAACCGTTTGTGGGACTCTACCTCCCTGCTTGCAAAAAAATAAAAAAAATAAAAAAATTGCAGGTGTCATGCTCAGTCCAGATGTGCTCTTTTCAATATCATCAAGGATGTAAAAAAATCTGCCAGCACTGACAGGCACATGTCTCACTGGCTTATAGGTAAACAAACAATATTTACAGTAGCAAATGGTTTAATGCTGATTCAAATTTGTTACATTTAAAACATTTTCATTTTCAGCTCAGTGAACACTCTGTTGATTCTCAGTGCATCTCTGTTCTTAGTTTGGTCTGTTAGGAGTGATTACATCTTGATGCTTGTCTCTCACTCATTTTATTTGTCATAAATAAATCAAAATAAAGGTTTATAGAGTGGCAAGGCTGATAATCTGGCATAGAGGCTATTTTCTGTTTACATGGATACAGGTGTGCCTTGAGATTTTGGCTTGCCCCTTGGTGTGCCTTGGGCACAGAGAGTTTGAAAACCACGGGTCTAATGATAGCGTTGCAGACGTGATCCCTCGAAGGCTCCTCGGGCACTGTCAGCCCCACTGACACCCCACTAAAGACTGCTCTCCCTTCCCACTGTTACAGAAGGCTGATAATTATTGTTTCCTGCTTGATGCTGTCAATCTCTGTTTGTTTGGAGGATTTCTCCTCTCTACTTTTACTTGCATATGAGAGAATAGTATGTTTGTACTGCTGCGCGTTTACACAGTGTGATTACAAATCATGTTACGTGCATGAATCCAATGTGAAAATCTGTGTTAAGTCGCTGAAGCAGAAGGCAGGATGAACATATGCTTTACATGTCACACTATCATAGCTCCACTTTGTGTAAATGTGAGTCATACATTTAAAATGTGTGTGTGCATTTGGAATATATGCATATGTCATTAGGAAAAGCCATTAGTCAGGCCCCAGAGGACTTGTAGTGTAACTGTGATAGTCCTGTTTACTGTAAGGCAGAGTCAGATGAAGAGAAATCTCCAGGGAGAGTCACTGAGCAGCACATGGACTTATAACACGCACTAGCCCAGTTTTACACTGTTCCCCTGGGTCTTGAGGATCCTTGAAGGTTTGCGTAAATGTAATAAGACTGAAAGCATTTTTTCCACAAAATAAATCAGTGGCCTTGAAAAACGCTAAATGATTTTTAAATTACTATGAATTATGTAAATCCTCTGCACACCTGCAGTAGTTCTCTTACTTGTACAGTTGCTAGGAGGTCAGTGACTTGCAATAAACTCCACATAAACGCTCTATAGTGCAGTCTGACTCTGATAGTGTAAGTTAGTTTGTGCTTTGCTTTTAAGATCTTTGTAAATGTTACACAACCCAGACTGAAGCCTTTAGACCAGATGCTGTATGTTTGCACCCAGTTTCATCATTTTGCTCCACAATAAATCCGACCTGCATGAACTGGGTTCTCGAAAAACACAGAGACCCAAAACAAAAGGGGCTGGTGTACAACCATGCTGGATTCAAGCAGGCTTAAGGATAAGTAGACCTGATTCAAATAGTCCTAAACAGAGCACAGATGATGATTATAAGCACGGTCAGAGCTGAGAACCAGTGTGCTTGGATCCACTTAGCTATACTGTACTGACACACAGATCATAGCAACAGTGTGACCCTGCTTGATCCTGTTAAACAGACCCCATTCAAATATCATTTTAATGGTACCACTTGTCAAATCATCTTTTACAAATCACAGATTTGCCTCAAGAGGCTTTACAGTGTGTGCAGCATTCAGAACCGTCTGTCCTTAGACCCTCGAATCAGATAAGAAAAAACACCCCCAAAATGGTGTGCTCCAAAACTGGCCCTTACCCTTCATACACTACCCGGCTTGGTCCTGTTTATGATGTAGCCTGAGATAAGCCCTTTTGTTTGTGGTTGCTGTTACCACAAATATTACTGTTGAACTGAGATGCATTATATTTACCTTGTATGGAGTGAGCTGAAGTTGGTTGTGTCTGGCTCAGTAGCAGGGCTACCCACTGAAAATGCTGCATTGCAAAGCAAAGATTGTCTGTTTTCAGTGGAGCATGAGCTGCCACCCCCACCTATTGTTACTGTATGTCAAATCCCACATGCTGGCAGTGTATTGATGCATGTTAACTCCAAAGAAGCAGCAAATTTACCATATTCACTTCTCTAATTGACATATGTCTTACTTTGACTACATATTCTATTTGTATTGGAGCGTCAGATGTCTGCACAATTAAACAGTGCATGTTCATGTGAACGTGGCGGCTCTTTTCTCAGGCTCTGGACACAGCAAGTCACTGGGACAAAGAAAGTAGTCAAGGTCCATTGACATAAGTGAGGTGAGTTTGTGAAGAACTGTGAGGGTTAAGGACAGTGGCACTATTGATGGAGAGCTGTTGTCTAAAGTCAGTTGGTACAATGATACATGATTAGGAATGGGATAAAAAAGACATTAGCTCTCTCAGAGAACCTGTACCGTTCTGGCCTCAGTGGCAGCTCTTTGTCTCTCAGGTGATGGTGTTTCCAAGCATTTAGTTTTCCCAGGAGAAGGTTCACCGGCTGGAGTTTGACTACAGTACTGTAACTC